GTCCCACTGTTCATTGGGCGGAAGGCAGGAAACACCTTAGACAGGTTGCCAGTCCATTGCAGGGCAGACACACAGACATATACATTCATACACACACACACACACACACACACACCTAGGGGCAATTTAGCATGTCCGATTGGCCTGACTGCATGTCTTTGGACTGTGGGAGGAAACCCACGCAGATACAGGGAGAACATGCAGGCTCCACATAGGGAGGAGCCCGGTTGCCTGGCCAGGGAACTTAACCCAGATCCTTCTTGCTGTGAGGTGATGGCACTACCCACCATGCCACTGTACCGCCCTGAATTTAATGTACTAGATAAAACATAAAATACAAAATGTGCCAAAACGTTGTACAGGCCATATTTTATGTATTTTATGTTTGTTTTTATGTCTAAACACTAATTGTGCATTCAAGTGTGCAGAAGTGCATTCTCTGTAGAAAATGTTTTATTTTCACTTATCAGCATATGTTATTTGACCAGGTTGCCCAGAAATTTGCAAGTGACTATATAAGCAATAATTTAACTCCAGTCTGCTCTCTGCTTGTATCCCTCTTTCTTAATTCTTTGTCTATGTTCCTCACTCTAGACACTGCAAAGCCTCTTAATGCTCAACTCTATGAGCTGCCAGCAACTGATAGAGAAGTTCTTTGAGAGGAAGATCTGGGAGCAGGTACAATCCCAGTATTATGATATAGTTGATCACAATAATGGATGATTTATGCGTCTGTATGTATTTCTTTGAGCTCATGTGAGACACTTCATTAATTCTGCGTGTAACAGAAAGTGTGTCATGGTGAGAAGTACGGAGCAGTCACACTCATCGTCTCATACACGCGCTCAGAAGAGAAACTGCACGTAGAAGTGCTGAACGCGGTCAAGCTCATCCCGCTCGACTCCAATGGTAAGCAGCCACGCATTACTGCCCCAGCCTGGGCAGTAAGCTCTCAGGAGAGTTGAAAGCTCTCAGGTGCACTAAAAAGACTTTCCTGGTGAAAGTGCATGTGAATCAAAGAAATAAACTGGTAAACTAATGTTCCCCTCACCTCAAATGGTGTCTGAAGTTTGGTGTTTAGTTTTGCACTGGAGCTACGAAGTTCATGTAGCTAAAAAGTAATGGAAGCTTATATCCCACCAATTAGAACATGTGTCTGATACTGCATGAAATTCAGGATTGAAGACAGCAGCTTCTACGGTTTTAGCTATGCAGTGTATTTCTGTTCATTTTATAGATAACAGTTTGTCATACAGTGAAAACACATGAAGTAAGTCTGTTTGAGATTACTTAAAGGGGAATTACACCAATCAGCATAACTGAATTTATTGAGATGCAAACAAAGTCAGTCCGAGTGGTTTGTAAAATGATGCATTGTAGAGAAACTTGCCAATTCTGATTTCTTTACAGTGGTGGCGATGAGGACCAGGGGTCACAATATCTACAACACAAATACAGCCATTCTATTCACTATCCAGAGCCACTAGTGTATCTACATGTGTTTTTAGGGTTTGTATATGTAATTATGATGATGGAAAATTGTGTTAAATCTGAAAAGATCAAGACTATTTTGGCCTACAACGCCATACACCTACACTTCCACCTTGAATGGCTTTTACAAAATACATTTTAGGTCAAAACCTTATCTTAAAATGATCATAAAACAATGTATCAGGCATCAGGCAACATATTCATAACTATTTCATTTAATAGCTATAAATGAGTTCATTTACATGCACTTAATAATCCGATAACTGCAGAAAATCAGATTTTGTCAGTAATCAGATCAACGCGTTTACATGCACTTGAGTAATCAGATAATGGGGAAACTCTGGGTCTACACGAATCAGACAGTGATCGGATTTCTGCTTTACAACCAGCCAATAAACTCACAGAAGACGTGACGTAAACATAATGTAAAACTCAAACTTCATGCCGCAGTAAACATCGCGGCACTTCACTTGAAAATATGCGCAGATCTAAAAGCATCAGTTGTGGTCAGACACCTTCCTGTTTGGTGTCAGAATAAAGCAAGAGCATTCGCATTTGAAATATATCAGGCGTCCCTCAAATAAGTCAGCGGATATCAGTTTAGTGGTGCAGACCTAAAAAAGGAGTGTTTTTATAGACTCGTCTGTTTCTCTGCAGGTTCCAGTGACCCTTTTGTCCAGCTGTCTCTGGAGCCAAAGCATGTATTCCCCCAGGTGGAATCGCGCTACACCAAGATCAAAAACTGTGACCTTAACCCGCTGTTTGAGGAATCCTTCGAGTTGTGAGTAAACCTGTGGAAGATCTAGTAATAAGCACACTTTTTTATTTTGACTTAAGAGAAATGAAAAAAAAAAATCTTTACCATAGGACTGCATGTTAAGAGCACACTGATGAAAGTAATTTTGGCACATTTGGTGTTATGCTAAAAAAAAACAAAACGATATAAACCTTCAGTGCTGGTTTATATTTATTTAACTCCTGTCCTGTGTGGGGCAGTCCTGTGACATTAGAGCAGTGCCAGGCAGCAGGAGCATGTCTGTTGGTGACGGTGCTGGACCACGACACCCTGCGGAGTGATGATTTCGAAGGAGAAGCGTTCCTCTCGCTGAAGGCTGTGCCGGGGGTCGCAGGAGGAGGAGCCCCAAACCCCACCCCTGCTCAGATCCGCCTCCCTCTGCTGCATCCCAAACCTAACAGTACGACCTTCCTCTTCTCTCAAAGGAATACATAAGTAAAAAATCAAATTTACACAATTATCCACTTTCTCCAAAAGTAGTCAGTCACCCAAGACATGTTTGGTGTCTGAAGTCTGTTTCCTTAGTTTTGCCCTGGAGCTACGAGGCTATTAATGGAGGTCTACGTACACCAGTTATCACTGTGCAAACTACATGCCTAAATCATCTCACACTTCCCTCAAACCACAGAGTTTAAATGGCACTTAAAGTGGCACAAAAATGAAAAATGTAATCATTGTTACATCTGTTGAAAATGCCTACTCACCTACTAATTCAGTGCAAAACTTGTTCTTGTTTAAAGACCTGGAAAAGCCCCTTTTAATGATGTATCTTGAAGGTGGAAGGAACTTTCAGAAAATTCCGAGCGCTTTGGAGCAGATACTTTAGGGAAGACTTTTTTAGGCTAGCTTGCCACAGCAGAATGAAGCCAGATAGCTAACAATACTGCTAGCAAGCTGAAGAGCATGTCTGTATTTATTAGCCTCTACTACAGTGGATTTCTCTATTGCTGAGGGAGGATCCCCCATGGTTGTAGGACGCGTTTGTGTAATACACACTAGGTTGTAGTCAGACAAAAATAATGGATAAAAACACAAACAGTGTACAAAAATATAAATTCTGCCAAACCTAAGGCTGAGGGATACAGTGTTGCCCTGCAGATACTATTACATAACATGATAACAATGAATGCTAGTTTTAGAGCTGATCCCCTTTAAGGCAAGAAGTAATGTGGTTTTTAAGACTGTATGACATTTTGTTCATTTTTTTTTATAGAAAACTTTACTTAAAAAACAGTACTAGCAGCCACCTTGAAGTCTGATTAAAGATTGATTGAGATAATTGCATAAATCTTATTTTACACTAACAGATATAAAAGAAGGAAAATCTTGTGTGCCTTGTGACAGGCACACAAAACACATTTTTCATATTTCAGAACACCTGTATATTGATTATTTCATTAGATTAAGTGTGAGAGTTTTTGAAAGAGGGCCAGATCGTATCATGTCAAAATACCCAAGGGCCTAAATATTATTCACAAAAGTTTTCAAAGGTTTTCTGTGTGCTACCATGTTTCCTATCACTGTATAAAAGTCTTCTTTTATTGGTCAAAGCAATTTGGATCAGTAAGGGCTTATAACAGATAATTAAATGTATGTTTACGAAGAACATTAAACATGTCTAATGTTTTGTGTGTATTCCTATTCAAGAGCTCACTTGTCAAATATGATTTCTTAGACAAACGAAACAAAAATGTAGATAATGTGCTTTACGTATCAAATAAATGCATTCAGAAATCACTTCAATGAGAAGAGCTGAAGTTTTTGTTTCAGCTTAAACAGTTAATATTTGTTGAACTCCTGAATTTTCACTTATAAGAAGTTGGTGCTGTGAGACTCTGGTAGCCTGCAGTAGCTTTAGTTTCTCTGCTCTCTCCTGAATATTTATTGTAATGTCTATTGATATTGAATATTATTACAGTCTTTTGACGTATGAGGCACTCTCATTTGCTTTGGCTCCCAATGGAAAAAATATTCAAATTTCCATCTTGCCCAAATCACCAGCTGTCAGTGTAGAGTTGGTACGTTATGGCTTTGGTCTTGAATAAATGTATTCAGTAAAGCTGCAGGTCTAATCAGAGGAGAACGGTTGTTAAACTTGAAGAAACTTTGTTTCCACACTGCGGTGCTTCACAATGTAAACAGTGCTGCCACCATCAGTTGAAAGCAAAAAACTGCAACGTATTGGCTGGCAGGTCACTTATAACACACCCTTAAACAGAAGCCACAGGCCGATTAAAATCTGTCCTCAGGCCACATTTGGCCCTGGGGCTGGACACCGCTGCTAACAGTACGAGTCACAGTTGTTCTCTGTGTTTATAGGTGAAGCCACCCTGAAGCTGCTCGAGGCCAGAAAGGGCGATCGCGAGGCTCAAGCCTTCGTCAAACTGCGCAGACAAAGAGAAAGAAAGTCTCAGGAAGCCTCAAACAATGAAGGGACGACAAAGTAACAAGCCAGTTATGTGAAAACTCTTCCGAAAATTGCCTTTGCTGTATCTGTTTCTGTCTCTGTCTCTGTCTGGATATATAATATATTGTGTTTATTTTATAGAACAAGTTGTAAGTATAATAGTTAGAATCTACTCCAATAAAACACCCATTATAATAATCCAAAGATGTTACTATGACACTGTGGAATTTCAAGTATGACTACTGCACTGTAAAGTTGGCATTTTTCTTATTAAAATATCATGCAGGAATACAAACGACTGAGGTGTTTTCATCCAAAAATATACATTTGTTTATTGTCTCGTACAAAATCAGATCGAAACACTGTAGGTGAGCAGACGATTACAGAACTCACAGTGAAGCTCTGATGTTGAAGAGGGCAAAATCCCCCACCTTCATACTGAGCTGAATGGAAACCCTCCTAGCACCTCCGCTCCCACTGGGGCCGTGTTCCTCTGGGTCAGAGCATTTATTAACATGATTCACCTCATCAGCTAAATATCAAACCTGCTGATGAGCTGAAAGTTTTCTTAGAAGGAAAAGTCGACTCTGTCCAGTGAAGCGTCACTCCAAGACTGGATTTGAGGAACACTTCGTGAACTGCAGGGTGAGCCTATTCAGATTTTGTCTTTATTCAGACCTCATCCTCTCCAAAGTCTCAACTACAACCACAACCTGTGGCGTGATATCAAAACGGTACAGTCAGTATTTGTTCAAAATGTCTGTATAGGCTCACCCAGTACTGCTGGCATATTAGAGGAGAATTCCACAGATTTTTTTTTTCCAGAAATGTCTGAATGTCATTCTGAGTGTTTTGATGTAAAATGGTCCACTGTAGAGAAGTTTACTGACTCTGAATTCTTTACGCCGTTGGTGATGGGAGCTTGGGGTCATGATGTCTACAATGCAAATATAGCTCTTTTATTTTCTGTCCAATATGAGCAGTGAACCTACACACATCTTGTGAGCTTTTATATGTAATATAATATAAAACATTTGTTTTTTTGTGTACTATATTGCCTTATAACACCCTGCATGTACCCCTCCACCATAAATGGATCTAAATAATTCACTTTAGGCCAAAACCTTTTCTCAATGCTACTGATATCAGATTTCTAGGAGGGAGTCATTAAACGTTTCAGATGTCTGGTTCCTATCACCACCACTGCAAACAATTCTGACTCTGTAAACTTCTCTAGAACAGCACGTTTCACATCATACCACTCTGAATGACTACATCTTACTCACTCGATCATACAGAAATTCTGAAAAATCGGTGGACGTCCCCTTCAATATGCTGCCCTTTCAGTGGGTAACTGGAGCGTGCATAAAGGATCCTAAATCAAACTTCACTGTTTGACACCTGTTCACACAAAAAATATCAAAACCAATCAAAAGCTTGCATGAAAAAGAGCAGAAAGCTTCAAACTGACTTGTTTCATAACACAGAATCAACATCCTATATAGGGAACTATGTATAGGGCTTCAAATGCTTTCTATAGTTTCCTTGCCCCCTATTGCAGATTCATGGTTCTGATGCTTTGAGAAAAAACCTGAGTGTATACTGAGCTGTATGAATGAGCATGTTTTCCATCTCTGCGGAAAGAGCACAGTAATCATGTTTCTCTGTAGAAAACCCTGGGATTCTTTTTAAACAAAGCTTTAAAAAAAGACCCTACAAAAGCAACGGTTAGCTTTCAGTACTGTTATACTGCTTCATTTGTCAAAGACATTTGAGCTTAACATATAAAAATCCAGGAACTGCACTGAGTAGACAATGAATGCATGCCATGAATGTTCATTCTGAACATTGTGGCACTCTGTTTTGTAAATGCTGAGGCAATAAGCGGTGATTGTCACACTTTATCATTATTTGCTGGGCCTTCATCTGATGCTGTATCACAAACCTACATAATAACCACATTGTTGGCTCTAATGTTTCCTCATTTTTCTGGAGATGTGCTGCTGTTCACAATCATATCCACATGAATCAGACATAATACGTTCTTCTACCCTGTCTCTGAGGGAAAACCTGTTAATAAACTGTAAATATAAACTGAAATTATAGTGTTCATAACCTTCAGATTCAACACCATTTGTTCCCACAATTAACAATTATATGACATTAAAAGGAAATTCTAAATAGAGTGAGTGAGTTCAACCACTTATTATTTGTTTCTGGGCCCTGAAAATAAACAAAATGGGACCAGCCGATAGCCCTGTATGAGGATGTATGTTAGAAGAATGGGGATTAGATGAGAAAGGTTAGGGCAGGACCTATGTCATGAAACCTCCTCTGCAAATGGCCTTTTAATTTAAAGCTTGCCATATTATAACAGTCTTCAGTCGATACTTTGATTAGTCGAACCAGGTATTCACAACTGTTTACACCAGCTGTTGAACAAGTGCCAAATATATAAATGCCAAATCAAGGTCATACTGTCTGTAATGGTTAAGATTAAGTGACAAGATTAGGATTAAAATCAACCGAAAATGAGTTAAATGTTAAGTCAATAAGTGCTGAAAGATTAAACAAAATGCTGGACAAAGGCACAATCAGGAAGTGCCACTCCTGTCTTGGGATTAATTCTGAATCTCACACAGTGCATTTTAAACATTAACATTGTTTATAGGACTTTTTTTGTTCTTTGTTTCTTGAGGATCAAAATTTGGTTCACCAGACATTGTGACTCCTGACCGGGTTCTTCAAGAAATACTCCAACACTGTTTTCAACCTCAGCTCTGTCTGCCACAGCTGTACTGTATAGTCGAGTACCACATTTCTGACATTTCTCCTTGTACTTAAGACCAAAACATAAAACAAATTTAAACCACATGAAACTCTCTTGTAACTAAAGCCACTGGGCAGCTGCTACAATCCATGAATATGAATGATTCCCTTTGAAAACATCATGCATACCTCTATGCTGGTAATATTTGACAAATTCTTCTTTCTGGAAAAAAAGCCCCCTAACTAAGTAAGCAATTATCCAAATTCAGAGCATAATTTACTGCTTTATTTATAAACATGTTTGACTGGAAAATAAAGGTGCTCTACAAAAATACAATTTGTATAAAGTTTAACTGATGGAATTCTGCCACTGACCAACAGCTTCTATTATAAGTGTCCTTCGAGTCCACAGGTTTTCTGTTCTTTTCTAAGTACAGACAAAATTACTGTCCATAATAATCCACCGTACGCTACAGATGTGGCATACAGAGACTAGGATGAAAAATGCTGGAGCATTCCTTTAAGAGCAGGACTAGCAATGTGGATGAGAGCTGAGGTAAAGGTTTAGTTTAGTGGGCTCAAACCTCCATGTGGAGACTTCCAGCACAGTTATGTTTCAAATCCAACCCACCAGGAGGGATGTAGAGCTTTAGCTGAAGCTCAGAGCAGTAGCTGGGGCTAAGCTCATGGAATGGTTCAGGGCTATAGGGCTGCTGCTTTAGGACTGTGGTAAATTTAAGCTCTGCTGGTGCTCTGAGCACACCGGGCACTCCGCCGAGGCCACACACCGTTCACAGCACACGCCATGTTGGCATGGCAACGCCACCGAGCCCAACTCCTCACACGACACACAGCACAACCTCTGCTTCCTGTATACAGCCTAAGAGAGAAAGAGAGGAAGAGGCAGTGGATAAAAGTTCACTCGTCACAATAAGTAATTCCAGCATATCAATAACAATGACTGAGCTTTTCTGGTCTTTTGTGCACACATAACAAAAGCTTCTGGCCCAAAGGTGGTTTAGATGCCCAATGTGGGCTGACATCACAACAATGGGAGAAAACGTGGCCTTTAGCAAAAGTTTGAACACCCCTGGTCAAATTGAAATTTTTATGCAAATTTAGTGCACAATTTCCATTTATTTGCTGAATTTAACATTCTGGAACAAATAAACATAAAATATAAAAACGTGCCATAACTTTTGCACAGGCCACATTTTGATTTTATGTGTTAAAAATTCAGCAAATAAGCAGTGCGTGCACTAAAATGTGCAGAAGTGTGTTCTCTGTAGAGGATGTGTACATAGAAAATCACAGAGAAATCGACACAACATAATTTAACCAGGGGCATTCAAATTTTTTCACACAACTTCATTCCCAAAGTAAGACTTTTGCTAGTTGTTCCTTCTTTTCTACAGTTTTTTTTTGCCCCCAAACATTTTACAACATGTATATAATGATGTGTGAGCTATACCTGTTCCACTGTGCGCAAGCACGTGCAGATTTGAGCTTGTAGGCTGCAGATGGAGCTAAATGGCAGTCTGTGCAGTAACTGGAGTTGATGGAGCTGCATGCGGGGGTTCTCTGCATTGCGTAAGCTCTCTAGCGCCTCCTCCAGGAGAGCGGCCTGCTGCTGTGCCTCCTCTTCAGCCTGCCGCGCCCGCTCTGCCTCTATCCCCAACCGCCCCGCCAGCAGACGAGCCTCTTCAGCATCAGCCTTCAGCACTGCCCATGACTGCAGATAACAATAATGGCCATTTACTTCAACATACAACACAACTCAAAACACAGAAACTCCTGCTCAGCATCTCCTACTAAGTTAAACGTAAGTTAAAATAAGGAACATTTTTGACATTACGCCAGTTTTGAAGCCTTTGTTTAAGTAGGTACAAAATGAAGCCAATTATACAAATTATTAGACCAAGGTATTATAAAAAACCTGAGCAGTTGTTTTGTGTGAAATTTTTTAGTACATGCAAAGTAAAACAGATATATTTAGATAGAAATAGAAATTTAGCAGCCAGTAGCAGTCACACTAAATAGGACAGTTATAATAATAAGGGTGATACGATATAAAAAGAGGAATATATACAAAAAACTATCTACAGGCATATATACAACTAGAGATATACAAAAATATGCAATAAGATCTATCCTGAGATTAAAAAAAGGCAGTGCAATAATGAATGTACAAGGAGGAGCAGGTAACAGCATAAAATGACAATACTGAATACATATGTGTATATATTGGTACTGAAATGAATGAGTAAGCAAAAATGACAATGACAAATCCATAGATTTTTATTGTGAAAAAAATTCTATTAATCTCTATGTATTGTGTAGCAGGGGTCAGCTGATATGTTTTTTCAAGGTTGATTATTAGTAATCAAGGATACTGATAACTAATATCTGAAGTTGATATTCATTTAGCATAAATTTGGCACTTGTAGTGTGAAAATTTACAAGAATGTAACTCTTACTTACAACTTACATTAAGTGAATATTACATTATAAAAAATAAAGATCTTTAAGCTTTAAACAGTATAGGCTTCAAAAATAATAAACATTTTAATGTTATCTTTAAAATGTTATATGGTACATATAGTAAAGTTATATAATACATTCTACTGCCAATGTTTGTCTATGGAGACTGCATGGCTATCTGCTTGATTTTATAGTCCTGTTAGCAATGGGTGTGACTGAAATACCTAAATTCTGGCCTATTTGCACTAGCTTAAGGATACAATAAAGTGCTTCTCTGAGCGTCACTAGATAAGAGATAAATAAGACATGTGCCATAAATGCACATGTAATAAAATTACACTCATGACTATAACGTAGGCTAGCCTTACAAGTCATGCAACCATTCTGTAGCTTCTTATACAGTTACAACACTTGACGGTCACTGAAAGACATACAATGAACCTATACAGAGATAGTGCTGAACACAATTCCTGCCACCATTTCTACTCATTTCACTTCTGAATAAGCAAATGAGCTTTGAACAAACTGTACTTCAACAGCAAACACACCTGAGACATCTGCCTCCAGCTGTGGTCCCAATGCTTCAGCACCCTGTGAGCCTCTTCCACTTCCTGTTTGAGCCGAGAAGCCTCGGCAAACATTGCCCCCGTGGAGAGCAAGGCTGGAGGAGTCCCGGGAGAGCTCTGCCCAGGGGGGAAATGCTCCCAAATACTACTGCTCATTCCATTCAAACCTGCACAGCATAAAGACAAAGCTATTTGCACACTAAATTATACAAGTGCTGCTTACAGCTTATAAACAACAGCTTATACTGAGTATGTGCATCAGATGTGCCTTTGTTGAATCAATAAATGCTGAAATTAACGCTCCTACAAAACTAAAACTTTGCTGCAGCAGTCCCAGAAGAGGTAAATACAGACCACTGCTCATTCCATTCAAACCTACCCAATGCAAAGGCACAGCAATTATCACAAAAATTTGCACAACTGCTGCTTACAGCTCGTCTACAATATATCTTTACTTTATACAGATAATTACAATGTACATCGATCAGGCATAACATTATGACCACCTCCTTGTTTCTACGCTCATTGTCCATTTTATCAGCTCCACTTACTAAATAGGTGCACTTTGTAGTTCTACAGTTACAGACTGTAGTCCATCTGTTTCTCTGCATACTTTGTTAGCCCCATTTTACCCTGTTCTTCAGTGGTCAGGACCCCCATGGACCCTCACAGAGCAGGTACTATTTGGGTGGTGGATCATTCTCAGCACTGCAGTAACACTGATGTGGTGGTGGTGTGTTAGTGTCTTAGTGTTGCGCTGGTCTGAGTGGATCAGACACAGCAGTGCTGCTGGAAATACCTCAGTGTCACTGCTGGACTGAGAATAGTCCACCAACCAAAAACATCCAGCCAACAGTGTCCTGTGGGCAGCGTCCTGTGACCACTGATGAAGGACTAGAGGATGACCAACACAAAGTGAGCAGCAGCAGATGAGCTATCGTCTCTGACTTTACATCTACAAGGTGGACCGACAAGGTAGGAGTGTCTAATAGAGTGGACAGTGAGTGGACACTGAGGTGTTTAAAAACTCCAGCAGCACTATGTCTGATCCACTCAGACCAGCACAACACACACTAGCATACCACAACCACGTCAGTGTTACTGCAGTGCTGAGAATGATCCACCACCCAAATAGTATCTGCTCTGTGAGGGTCCATGGGGGTCCTGACCACTGAAGAACAGGGTAAAAGGGGGCTAACAAAGTATGCAGAGAAACAGATGGACTACAGTCTGTAACTGTAGAACTACAAAGTGCACCTATATAGTAAGTGGAGCTGATAAAATGGACAATGTGCACAGAAACAAGGAGGTGGTCACAATGTTATGCCTGATCGGTGTAAGATGCCACTTAGTTCAATGAAGTGAAACTCAGGCATGATTTAAAACCCACAGAGATCTTGTAGGGGGAAATGTACGGAGAAGCAAAATCCAACTACTATGGATGGACTGTAGACAGCAGTGAAGAATGTGTGTGAAGCAGTTCCTTTAAAACATTTTAACTTCAGAAAACTTTATGTAAGATAAGATATAAGATATAAGCTAAATACTAACAAACCTAATGAACTATGAGACGCTCCCAAAAAGCTGCTCTCCGATTGGCTGGGCTGTGACAACTGGGCAGACAGAAATGGAGAAGTATGCGCCCTGATTGGAGGTGAGGGTGAGGGGGATCTAAAAGGAGAGGGGCTGCTGAGGGATCCGGGAATATTAACAGGAGCCGAACTCCGAAGCTGGCTTCCTCCTGTTTAAAGAAACACAAATTCAGTTCAGAAGAGTTTAGCCAGAGGTGGGTGATTCAGGTCCAGAGAGTAAAGACCCACAATTTCACTCCAATGTTCTGGCTTCTCTAGTTAGTTGGACCAAAATCCTGGGGAAGATGTTTAACTTCTGGATCTGGATTACCCACCTCTGAGTATAAAACATGTCTGAAACACGTAAAATTTAAAACAACTGTGCATAGTAATGTAGTATGGGAGGAAACCCAAAACCACTAACATTTCTAAAATAGAATTCAAGGTACCAGAACCTAAATATCACTAGTAAATGAGGTCATCCTAAGCACACAGTTGCAGTCATCTACATCAGTATTTTTAAAAAGCAGGATGACACAGTTCGTGCTAACCTAACATAAGCCCCATGCTGGGCATAGAGCTGCTCTCCAGGCTCTTCTCCAGTGCTGACACTCCAAAAGCATTCAGGTCCAGATCATCCAATGCAGACTCTAAACAATGGGAGACACACAAAGCATGAAACTGTCAGTCAGTTCTACAGAAACTAACATAAATCAACACTGCAAACTAAGACAGACTCATCAAAGCCTACATTTAAAGATACAGCCTGTGTTTTAGTTTGTAACAGATGCTTAAATTACAATGGGAAGCACTTTACTAGTCAAGTACTAGTAATCTGTCTTTGTGGAACTGGTGTACGACATAATAAACAAATAATACATAAAAACACAAAGTAAATCCATTATGGCTTAGATTTTTAACTTTAATGAGGCTCACTTACCCACTACAGACTCCACAGTATCACTGGTGGGGTAGAAGGGCAGTGCGTTTGCGTTCATGCCTGTTGAGGATCCTGGAAGTGCCGGACTAGGAGGGGTCGCAGCCAGACTTGAGGGCACACTGGATGACAGGCTGAGGGGGCTGCCAACTGGCAGAAATACAGACAGTTCCTACAACAGTAGATTACAGTGCATTACAGAAAACATATAACCATTTACTCCTTAAAGGATGCAATGCATAAAACTGCTACAAAATAAGATTTAACTCAGAAGAAAAATGCATGCTAAAAATATAATGGCCAAAAGTATGTGGACAACCAAACATCACATCTATGTGCGTTTGATGATTTCATTCCAAAACCATTAAAATGGATTTGGTCCCCCTTTGCTGCTATAAAGAGTCCTCCCTCTTCTGAGCCTCATTCACCAACATCTTGCCAAGTTTTTTCTTAAATTTATTCTTGAGAAAAATCCTAAGAAAAAGTCTGTGTCAGATTCATGACATGTTCTTAAACCGCAGAATTGTTTCCAGTTTTGTGTTCTTGAGTGCGCACAGATTCAGTTTTTACCTAAGAACAAATCCCCAAAAAAGGAAACACTGGTGAATGTCAGAATCTTTGTGAAAACTATGTAAGTGGGATTTAAGAAGAAATTTCTTTTAATAAACAGTTGGTAAATGGGGCCCACTGATTCCTTCCCTAACCTGCCAGAATGCTGGAAGCACACGATTCTCTAGAATGTAACTGTGTGCTGTAGCATTAGGATTTCCCTTCGCTTGTTACTGAGGTGCCTAATCAATAAAAAGCAGTCCCAGACTGAGGAGGGATAACTTTATAGTTTGCACTATGCATTTGGACAGGTAGTTTTCCGTTGGCATTTGCATGGTGACCCAATCCAGGAAGCTCCCACTGAATAGGTCCTGTGCTGAAGTTGCTTCCAGAGACAGTTTGGAACTTGTTAAGCCACTTTTCCACTGAATGGTACCGGCTTGGCTTGACTCGACTCGACTCTACTTGCCTTTTTGGTTTTCCATTAGGCAAATCTGGTACCTAGTACCAGGTACTATTTTTGGTACCACTTCCATCGAGGTTCCAAGCGAAACCTGCAAAAACGCTGCACGCTACTGACTGGACAGAGAGAATTGCGAAGCACATATGCTAACGATAACTACCAGGATAGAGTACCCTTTTGCGCTGACTTTGAGCAACCAGAATCGTCTCGTCGTCTGAACTCTGATGTAGTGTTTCCCAAAATCTCATGTTGTTTTGTTCAGCAGTATTTTGTCTTGCTACCTCTTTTGAACAAAATGGTGTCATGGCAGTTTCATGTGGCATTACTACGACAACCAGCTACATTGAGGGGTACTCTATCTGCCGTGGAAAACAAAACAGCTGGTACCAAAAGTGAGTCGAGTCAAGCAATATCATGCAACGGAAAAGAAGCTTTAGTAAGAACTGCAACCGAGCATGTTTTTTTTTTTTGCTTCAGCCCTCGTCTGTTCTATTCTATAATCAACTCACAGTTGACCGCGGTGGCTCAAGCAAGTCAGAAATATAACAAACTGACCTATTTAAAAAGTGGCATCCTTCTACAGTGCCATGTTGAAAGTCTTTAAGCACTTCAGTTCGACTCCTTCTCCTGCCAGTGCTTGTCTATGGAGGTTGCTTGATTGTATGCTTAATTCCATGCACCTGTTAGTAATTGGTGTGGCCGAAGTAGCCAATTCCACTTATCAGGGGTGCCAGTATACTTTTGGCCATGTAGAGTGTTGGGGGAAAAAAAAACAATTTAAAATATAATTCATGGAAAGGCAATGTAGTACCGGCTTGCTGTGTACAGGGGCAATTTCTTTACTGCGATGTTCCATTGCAAATATTTTCTGTTTTGCCTAAAAAACAAGAACATAAATAACAAATCATAAAGACATGGGGATGGGTTTCACTGACTATCATCAGTTTAAAGGCAGACAAAACACTAGAGGATTTTCTGCCTGGGTTATAGCCTTTGGCATCTATGCACCGTGCTATATTTAACAATCTTCCCTTACTGTATTATAGGACAACTTCTCTGTACCATAATGCTCATTACTGCACAAGTGTTTATATCATTGTGTAATATATGGCTGTATATGTACATATTCACATTCATCTCTTATAGCGCCTTTTATACTGGCTCTTTGTTGTTTAGTCTTTTATTCTTTAGTTATATCTCTTATTTTCTTTGGAATATTTGCTAATACTCTACAATTGTCTGGTCTGTTTAGCATCTTACATGCCATACATGTGTAACATACCTGGCAATATAAGTGGATCTGATCATTATTTAGTTAAATTTGAATGTAGTGTACTCCTAATAATACAGTGATATGAGCAGTGTAGCTTAGTACAAGACTGAGGCTAATCTGTGGGTAGTAAAGCAGCCCATGATGCTAAATTAACCCTTTGAGGCAGATGCAAAAATGTCCATTTCTGCCATTGTATCTATTCTTTTCTGTTAAAATGCAATTTATGAATGCCGCTGTTCCTCTTATTTGATATGTAAATATTACATATGCAGTATAACTCATCTGGCAGCTGATTTAAGGAAGTGTTCTTTTTATTGGGGAGTGAATTTTCAGACCCATCGGGTTCATGTGGTTAAGAAACTACACTGAACTGTCCCTTTCTACATACCTGGTCCTCTCTCTCAAACCCTGGGGCTTTCCCATAACCCCCTTCTCCTGCCCAGAGGGAGAGAGGGGTATCCAGACCCGAAGACTCTTCATCAAGAATCCTTCCCAGAAAGCCGTGCTCTGAGGTTGTACTGTCTGCGACTGTTGAGCAGGGGATTGTAGGAGACGATCCACACTCTGGGAAAGGATGCTCTTCACTCATACTCACTTCTGAGGAAAGAAAACACAAACTTCACGCTTTATCCACACACAATCTACCAAGAAGACATTTTAGGCACCGTCAAACTTTGTAATGTTTGATGATTCTCCAGTAACAATCTTAATATAACAACTTACAGATCAAGGGTATTCAACCATGCATGTGCATTCCAACTCTGTATTCTGTCTAATTTCCTTAGGGAAGCACAAATATTTCAGCTACCAAAAATATTTGGCGGAAAACAATGGCACTTTCAATTTTTGGGTGCAAAAGAAAAAAGGTTGAACATTTTTGCCTGAAAAAGCAAAAGACTGCATCAAAAAATTGTCAAAAAAATAAGCAATGTTTAACAAATAATCTACACAATCATTAAAATAAGAAATAGATTAAAGTTTATTAAAAATAATATTTCTCCCGTGCTGTTCAGCACAGATGCGTTCAAACCGTTTGACAACTGCAGGTAAACACAAACACACAAAATGTGGTTCGCTGCACTTTTATCTTATGCTTTTCAGTTAATGAAAGTAATGAGATTAATGGAAATCATAATAATAATAATAATACTGCGTAACTTAATATCTTTTGGTAATAAACCTTTTCATCTCTGGTTTCAAAAGATGCTCCAGATCAGCTGGAGTCCATGGCTGTTTCTAAAGTGACTTGCATGCTAATAGCGCTCCCTGCTGGAGAAACAGACTTTTAGGTAGGGAGTTCCAAAATTATGTCCATGTGCTTTACATATTAAAAAAGGAGGTGTTTTCTGTTGTTATAGCAGAGGAACCTTTGGGAAACCATGAAGTTGATTTACATAATTTTACTTTATTTTTTTTACTTATTTATTTTTAAAAGTATTTAGCAAGCTGTTTGAAATTATATTAGTCTACACTTCTGGCCTAAAAAAATGGGCCAAGCCCAAAATACAACAGTTTTCACTGATGGCTTTGGCCTGGTAGAGTCCAGATTTAAAACCTATAGAGAATATTTGGTCTCACATTAAACATAACCTAGTTTGGCAATGTTAAGTGGAAAAATACTGACTCTTTTTCAGTAAAAGGAAAAATCCGCAAATTTACATGCAAAACTTCAACATTTAAAGAAATCCAAGGGAAGAGCTCATATTAAATTACTTTATCTATTTGTTTAATGGTTTGTTGTTAAGACCATTAAAAGCTTAATGCTTTGTCATTTTGGCCTTGGTCCATTTTTTGTTTTTGCCCAGGAGTGTAGTTCTCTCAGTTCTCTTTGCCAGTGTGGCGATTATTGCTTTTGAAGTATCACCAGCTTATTACGTTAATTCGAAAGCAATGGTAAATTGTAGTTTTCAGTTTTGTTTTTGGGTGAGTGCGTCCTCGATTTTGGTTTCCATCCATCCATCCATCATCTAAACCGCTTATCCTTCTGGGTCACGGTGGGGTGCTGGAGCCTATCCCAGCTGTCATTAGGTGGAAGGCAGGATACACCCTGGACAGGTCGCCAGTCCATCACAGGGCAGACAGACAGACATACACATTCACACACACACTCACACCTAGGGGCAATTCAGCATGTCCAATCAGCCTGACTGCCTGTTTTTGGACTGTGGGAGGAAACCGGAGTACCCGGAGGAAACCCACGCAGACACGGGGAGAACATGCAAACTCCACACAGAAATGACCCTGGTCGCCCAGCCGGGAATTGAACCCAGGCCCTTCTTGCTGTGAGGCGACAGCGCTACCCACTGCCCCACCGTGCCGCCCCGATTTTGGTTTCAATTTCAAGAATTTTTATTTTGGTGCATCACTAGATTTACAAATGTAATTTCTTTTTAAAAAAGAAACAAATGTAACCTGTGAATTCAGGTGGTTATCGTCCTCAATGTGCTGATTTGAGGACGACTATTCTAAATAGAGTAATGGAAGGTGTTGTGGGCTGTGGGATGCATGAGTTCTTACTCTCCATGTGGGCGAAGGCACAGAAGGGCCCTCTGGGGCAGCTGCCACTCTGCTGCATGTCATTACATTTGGTGGATTTGTAAATCTGGAAAAAGAAGTTAGACATGCTCAAAAAAATCTGTAAATCAACACCATGTTCTAACATTTATTTTTATTTTCTCTTATTGTGTCTCACGTTTGATTAGAATATTCATGCTTTTTCTTGTGCTTTGTTTTTATTTTTCTCAGATAAGCAAGGAAAGGAAAATTTCACCATGTAAACATTCACATTGAATGAATTAGTTTTCAAAAAAAGTGTAGTTAAAGGTACTTTTGATTCATTTTTCTCTTCTACACTTTAAACTGTAGGTCTATTATGTTATTAACCATGTAAAAAATACTACTACAAACTACTTAGTGGTCATCATAAAACAACAATGTAGGTTATGTAGTTAAGAAAGTATGGAATGGAAATCTGGACCCTTAGAGTTTAAGACGTTAACAGCATTTTACCTTACAGTGTTAAAAGTCTATTAGTAAGAAAAGAGCGATAGGGCTTTTACACAGCCTCATCTCTGGTTGTGTCTATTAATGCTGATTTACACTCAAAGAGCACTTCATTAGGAACACCGTATACCTACTCATTCATGCAATTATCTAATCAGCCAACTGCGTGGCAGCAGTGCAGTGTATGAAATCATGCAGACATGGGCCAGCAGTTTCAGGTAATGTTCACATTAATCATCAGAATGGGGAAAAAAAGGTCATCCCAGTGATTGTAACCATGGCATGATTGTTGGTGCCAGACAAGGTGGTTTGAGTCCATAACTGCTGATCTCCTGGGATTTTCACAGAAAACAGTCTCTAGAGATAGTCAGAATGGAGCAATAAAGAAAAAAACATCCAGTGAGCAGCGATTCTGTGGCTTGTTGATGAGAGGTCAACAGTGAATGGCTAGACTGCTTCGAGCTGACAGAAAGGCTACAGTAACTCAGATAACCACTCTGTACAACTGCGGTGAGCAGAAAAGCATTGCAGAATGCATATCATCAGCAAACATTGAGGCAGATGGGCTACAAGAGCAGAAGACCATGTTAAGTTCCACTTCTGTCAGCCAAGAATAGAAAGCTGAAGCGGCAGTGGGCACAGGCTGACCAAAACTGAAGTCTGAAAAAACATAGCCTGGTCTACTACATCTCAATTTCAGCTAAGGCACACAGATGGTAGGGTCAGAATTTGGTCTCAATAGCATGAATCCATGAACCCAACCTGCCTTGTGTCAACAGTCCAGGCTGGCGGAGGTGGTATAATGTGGGGAATGTTTTCTTGGCACACTTTGGGCCCATTAATACCAATCAATCATTGCTTGAATGCCACAGCTTACTTGAGTCTAGTTGCTGATCACGGGCATGAAAAATACACCTACACTATGTACAGGAACTACAGGAACTCTTTGTACTATAATACCTCTACTCTTCTTTGTACTATAGTACCTCTACTAAAAATGTTTGCTATCCGGTGTCGACCAGAGGAGGATGGGTTCCCCTTCTGAGTCTTGGTTCCTCTCAAGGTTTCTTCTTCCTTCTCTTGGGAGTTTTTCCTTGCCATTGTCACCACTGGCTTGCTCATGGGGACTCGGACCCGGATTTTCTTTCTGTAATGCTGATTTTTTTTCTTTCTGTAAAGCTGCTTTGTGACAACACCTGCTGTAAAAAGCGCTATATAAATAAACTTTGCTTGCTTGCTACATGATGCAATCATGTCAACATGGACCAGAATCTCAAAGGGATGTTTCCAATGTCTTGTGAAATCCATGTCACGAAGAACTGAGGCTGTTCTGAGAGCAAATGGAGGCCCTAACCCAGTAACAGCATGATGTTCCTAATAAAGTGCTTGGTGAGTGTACTATTTAGTCTTTCAGAATGACTGCAGAGTGCAGGTGGTCATTACCTCTGGGTGAAACTGCTGCTCTGTTCGTGTGTGACAGTACTGACAGCTCTCCCCACTCTCACACTTACTGGGGTCACCCCACTCATCACTGTGCTTCACTGAGGGACACGGCAAAGCCCTACAGGCACATACAACACAAGTCAAAGGTCTTATATAAAGCAAACATTTACCTGCTTCTGTCAGAGTAAGAAAACTGAATTAAAACCAGAATGGCTCGTGGGCATTGGGTGTAGGGCTGGATATCAAAATTCAATACTTATGATACTGACCGAATTACTTCAATACCACCAAGTCTCTAAAATTTCCAAGTCATTCAGTACCAAATTTTAGTACCCAACAATTAAATATAAATAAATAAATAAATACATACATACATACATACATACATAAACAGATTAACATTTATACCTCACAATTCTGTTCAGTCAAACAGAGTAAAGTCGGATGTACAAACTTTGTACCACAAATATCGAGTTTTTGCCTCCTTTCGTTAGCCTGTGTGTTCAACTGTACTGGGGAAGTGTTTGTGCTTGTGTATTTAAAAACATGCTCAAATCACACAGTGTATGCCTGGTGAGAAGGTGGAATGTTTAAAGTGACCATGAACTTTGTGTCTGACTGCCACAGCGCCAGCAACACTTCGCTGTGCAAGCAGACCCTCATTCACTGTTCACTTTAGTCACTGTTCATTAGTGCAGCAGTGTACACCACAGGCTTTTGTCACGTTGTATCAGGTAATATTGGACTTTGGTGTCTGTGCATTTTTTACGCGCACGAATAAATGAGCATGGTATCAGGCCGATACTCGATAACATAATCGGTATCAGTATTCGGTCTTACCAGCATCTGAAAGTCAATGAGCATAAATGATCTCAAAGCTAGACTGGTGACAGGATGATAAGCATGTTTTTAACATCAGCGGTCTGATGAACAAACATATAACAGCAGTTTGTTTAATTTCTCTTTTTTGTAAAACTAGATTTTGTTTACTGGACATAGAAATGTAATGTTTTATGTGTACTTTTGCATTTACATGAATCACTATCATAGTTGAAGTACTGATAGGTATTGATATCAGTATCAGTAAAATGTTTAGTGATATCCATCCCTCATTAGACGTATAAATGACTGGTATATGGTGCCATGCTGACAAATGATCAGTGTTTCTATACTGAAGCTGACTATAAATATCTGTCTTTTTATAGCTAACTTGGTTCGAACCTGTATTTGTGCTTGTGAGGGCATCGCCTGCGGTCTTTGCTGTTGTGGTAGTAAGGGCAGGCGTAACCTTGGCGACAGAGACGCGGTGGTTTTTTGCAGAGTTCGGTCTTGTAGTGAGAGAGCACATAGCCGTTATCTGTAGATAGAAAAGAGAAACCATTTGGGGGAGAATTAGACGCAGTGAGTGATTGCACTCACGAGAAACAGGCAGACAGTAAACAACAAATATAAATTAACAGAGTAAGTAGGATAACTGAAACCCACACACAGTTGCATAAGTATGTAAGTGACATTATGAATAATTTAAAACTGATGAACCACCTCCTAAACCAGTCACATGCACTTATTACAATCTAGTTTAGAGTTTTATGATTGCAAAAATATCACACATCATAAAAATTCTAATGATGTCACCTCGAACCATAGGTTTATTAAACCTATATGAATTTATTTAACATGAATTATTTACTAACTACCACCAAACTAATATGCAAGTTATTTAATACCACATACAGACGCCTGGAGTTTAAAGTGTTACATGTTGTTTTCACCTTGCCAACGTGGTTCCTCGCTCAATATCTTCTCTATAAGAGCTGTACTGGCCACTAAACCAGACTGTCCCTCTCCCACTCCACACTCAGACAATCCAGAGCCAGCCTGGGCCTCCAAAGACTGCACCTCCCTGCACGACAGACACAATGGTTTATATGACTATTTCCTGTGACAACTAAAGAGAATTGTACTTATTGCATAAACTCATACTCAAGGCCTAAACTATCACCAGTGAAGCGTACCTGATGTCGTATACTGGGGATCGAAGATCATGGGAGCCGTGGGCGAAAGCACAGTGGGGGCCGTTCTTACTGCAGTGGCCTTTCGAGTCTGTCTCATGGATACAGGAGCCTGTCTTATAGTACCGCAGATGGTACCGCCGCTCCGTGTCCCCAGCTGTCCGGTGCAGGAACGGACATCTGAACACAAACACCATAAAATAAGGGTGGACAACATAACAATATTTCATTGTGACTGTGATGGATTACGTTACAACATGCTTTTCTGAGCATACTGTAGATACAGCCACTGTAAGAACTAGGGATGTGCATTTCAACTAATTTTGAGGTTCAAGAATCCGTAAGTGTCAACTAACAGATGACTGATTAACCCCAGGGAAGGAAAAAAACAACATAAAAAGACAATAAAAAAAAAGGACTTCAGCCGACATTAACACAGAGCTGTGGCACATCATTTTAGGTGACAACACTGAGGTTTCACAAAAAACAGGAGGATCCAGAGGGATACATCTGAAAATGTGTTTTATTATTTTTTATTATTAAATATATGACAGATCTTATTAAATAGCTGATGGAAACAGGTAGGTTTTCATGTCAGATGAGTAACAAAGGCTGCCTGATCAGGTGAGCTAATGAGCAAACCAGTACAATGTTGAATGCTGATGGCTGATGCTGAATGCTGATTTGTCATCTTCCAACATGCTGTCTTTTTTTCCTCAGTGAACGATGGACAAGCATGTAAGTTTGTCAGACAAATATTTCCACATCAAGCTAACATCAGCTAGAGTAGTTTCCTAGTTAGCAATAAAGCTTTGCTGACTCCAACTTCAAGTACTTAACAACACATCCTTTGCAACACATCATGTTCAGGCATTCCTGTTTTGTAGTAGCGAAGTAAATGTAATATACTTATCTCCTCACACATTTGAGTGAAATCACCACATTTTACAGCCCTGTAAAAAATTATCTTTCAAAGATTTGTTGGTCTGTGTATTTTCCCATCTTCCCATGATACAATAAGACAAATACCTGAACAGTGATGTCAGTATTTAAATACTGAAATAAACAGTTAACAGAGTTCTCCAATATCCATGCACATCCCTATTAAAAACACTGATCAACTACATGTTTCATTACACTGGATCTTCTGCAGCACAGCAGTGTTTTTTAAATGTGGCTCCACTCTTTTGCTGCTTCACTGTGTCGGTTCTGACTTACCAAATCTCAGTGAAGTGTGGGAACAGTGTGAGATATTTAGAAAGACGCTTCAGAATCTGTTCTTATGAGGACAGTATGACATTTCACAAAGCAAAATTTGTCAGTTAGACAGTGGCCCTAAGTCAAAACTCCTCTGTCCAGTAGGAGGAGAGTTAAGGGACAAAACCTAGACCACCTTCAACGTTAAATTTCTTTGACACTGATTTATTTGTTTACCTGCTTTATGAAATGCTTGACTAATCAGAAATTCTGTGTGTAGGCTGTCTGTTTCACTGGAAATCATACCAGAATGTTACATGTAATGTTAACCACATCTTTCATTTTGAGGCAATCTGAGACCACAAGAAATCTTAATAACACAAAGGGGAATTTCCCAAAAGCATCATGCCACTAAGAGCTATGTAAAGTGGTAGAGTGCTTCTTTCTTACTAATAGTCAGAGCGAAATTAAATGTTTTCTTATTAAGTAGGTTAATCTTGCTCTTGTGGATCCCAGTTTATTGGGTAGTATGTACGTAAGCAGTACTCTCACTAATCACAATAAGGTAACTCAGAAAAAATGACTGCGAGAAAGCTAACCACCAAGCGAAAGCTAACACAGCAAGCATAACCGAACTAGCAAGACCATCAATTCTTGCACGCCAGCATATCCAGGATGCACGTTCAGCATTGAACTGAATAAGATAGCTCTCAAATAAGTCTGTTTTGTGATTTTCAAGACATGTTTTATTAAATTTCTGGCTTGTTCTTTCATTCAAACCTTAAATTTAACACTAAATTTAAGCATCATTTAAACAGTTCAAATATTTTATGCTGTGATTTCTGTTTTTAGGACACCGTGCTCAGGACATATGAGTGCTATATGAAGTAAGCAGAAGCTGTGGAGCGAGAGGGCAGCAGTCTCAGTACTCACTCGTCTCCGTCAGGGCATGTGCCCGTGCCCTCGTCATATTTGACGCAGTACACGTCCGGGCTGTAGTTAAAGGTGCCGTCCCGTCTGCGGATGGGGCGCCGGCGACGCTGGTTAAGGAAGTGCCAGTGGAAGCAGGTGAAGGGCCGATGCTGAGTGCACTTGTGCTGCACAAAGAGAGGACACTGCTCTGTCCTGAACTCTTTCAGGTATCTGAAAAGACACAATGCAGGCAGCGTCAACACAGAGACGAGCATCTCTATCACTGTGATACAGCAATCAACAGCTTGAATAACATACACAGAAAATTATGGAGCCGCCACACATGAGCCTAAGGTCACCATGCTCAATACCAAGCATCAGATAGAGGGGTACAAACAAAGCCCCCCAGCACTGGGCTGTGCAGCAGTGAAACTGCGCTCTCTGGAGTGATGGAGCTCCATCCAATACCTCTAAGATGAAATGGAGTAGAGTCTGGATCCAGAACTAATCGAACATCAGTGCCTGACCTCACTAATGCCATTGTGGCTGATTGCAATCAGATCCTCACAGCAATGCTCCAAGATCTATTGCAAAGCCTTCCCAGAAGAGTACAGGCTGTTGCTGCAGCAAAGGGGGGGGCACAGCTAGCAAGCTGAGTTGGGAGCTCCATAATATTGATACAAATCATCTACTTTTGCCTACAAAGCCCTGCTGGTGAGACCCCCTTTAGATAAAAATCAATGTGTGGCCACGCCATATTAACACGTGGGAACGAGATCCTATGCGTGGCCATGACTTGGTGAGGTGAGGGAACGAGATAATTAAGTCATGCCTTATTAAGCCATGATCAAGGCTTAATTATGTCATTCCCAAGTATTACTAAGTCGTGGCCATGCATTAAGATCTCATTCCCACACCTTACTAAGTGGCTACGGCTTAATTATTTCATACCTATGCCTTTCTAAGTCATGCCCATGGGAACGAGATTCTATTGCGTGGGAATGAGATAATTAAGCCTTGACCACGGCTTAATAAAGCATGATCTCGTTCCCACGACTTACTAAGTTGTGGCTGTGACTTAATTATCTTGTTCCCAGACTTACTAAGTCGTGGCCAAGAATTAGGATCTTACGGAGCCCTGATGATGACATCCTGCATACATAAAAATAATGCGCGGCCACGCCTTATTAACGCGTGGGAACGAGATCCTAATGCATGGCCACAACTTAGTAAGGAGTGGGAACGAGATCATGGCTTACTAAGTCATGGCCACGTATTAGGATCTCGTTCCCATGCTTTACTAAGTCGTAGCCATGACTTAATCATCTCATTCCCACGCCTTACTACGTCATGGCCACGCGTTATTTTTATTTATATAGGATGTCACCAGAGGGGCTCATTAGGATCTCGTTCCTACGGCGTGGCCACGACTTAGTAAAGCGTGGGAACGAGATCCTAATACATGGCCACGACTTAGTAAGGTGTGGGAATGAGATGATTAAGTCGTGGCCATGACATAGTAAGGCGTGGGAACGAGATCATGGCTTACTAAGTCGTTGCCACGCATTAGGATCTCGTTCCCATGCTTTACTAAGTCGTAGCCATGACTTAATCACCTTACTAAGTCTTGGCCACGCATTTTTTTTATTTATATAGGATGTCACCAGAGGGGCTCCATAGGATCTCGTTCCTACGGCGTGGCCACGCGTTGTTTTTATTTATATGGGATGTCACCAGCGGGGCTCCGTAGGATCTCGTTCCTACGGCGTGGCCACGCGTTGTTTTTATTTATATGGGATGTCACCAGCGGGGCTCAGTATTTGCCTGATAACTTGACCCCAAGGTCAAACTTGGCTGACAGGCGGTCAGTTAAAGGGACGCTCCTGTCAGCCAGTCTTTACTGTGAGTTCAGGTTATCTGTCTTGTCTAAAAGCTCCACGCAGATGATTCGCTGTCAATACTTTGGACGCTCCCCACTCAGCTAAGCTAACTAGCTAACCGCTAACTGTCACCACACTTCAAAACACAGAAAGCAGAACAGGGCTGAAGTTGGCTTCCTATTCACCAGCTTCGTTTTCCCGTTCCACCTTAAATGGTGCAGCAGTTACATCCTGGCTGCACCATTTAAGGTGGAACGTAAAATTAGAAAATGGGAAACAAGAAGAAGCTAACTTCAGCTTCGGAAAAGCAGAGGGTGCTCAAAAAGAAAGCGGGGTGTCTCAGTAAAGCCGGATCACTTAAGCCAAATATTAGGACTGTAAAAAAGAATAACAAACCTCTGTTTACCCGCGCAGCTAAAACTGGCTGTCAGCAAACTCAGAAACACAGCTTAACTAACAGAAACATGCAGCCCTGCTAGCTCAGCAGGCCTCCACTGACAAGAACGGGGCCAAAGCTGCCTTCATAGAGGGATAATTTACCCAAACCACGCCGAGGAGAGCAGCTAAGGGTACCTGTCCGCGGTACAGGTCAGGTGAGCGCGCGTGCACGACTCTGTGTTTTGTACGTACGTGTAGTGCTGCGGTTTCTCCAGCGCGTTGGCGGGAGACGCGGAGCCTCCGGCCGAAGGAGAGGAGCAGGAGGAGGAAGGTCCCAGGCTGGCTGCAGCCCCAGCAGAGCCGGGCTGAGCTGACGGTTTCGACATTATTTGTGAATTTTAAACTCAAATGATCTGTTTAATGTTCTCATATTGCCAGAGCTTCGGAAATCCGCATTCTTTTTGCATGTGCGCATGCGCGGGTAGCTCTGAGGCGGGACTTCCGGGGCCATGATGGTGACGTCAACAACAACAACAACAAGACGCTTTAATATCGAAACTTAGATAAAGACTTTATTGTGAATTTACAGTCATAGTTGGCAAAATTCTGTACACACACATGTAAACTATCGAAATAAACCTCTATTTTTTGTTGTTTTGTTTTTAAAGAGGACCTTGAAATATACATGAACTCCTTTAGTCCACACGCAATTAATAAACCCTTCAGCAAAAACACATAATAATACTATTTTTGTAACTTATGTGGCCTCAGTTGTTAAATTGTAAATTCTTTTGTATGTATAATGTACAGTAGAGCATGAAAAAAAAAATATATAAAAAAAAAAAATAATAATAATAATAATAATATTGACACTTATTGAGTTAGTAAAAATGTCATTCCGCATATTTCAGCATTATTTCAGTTCCCCGACAAGGGATTAAATGGGAATTCCATTGTTTTTCAAAATTTATGAAACTATAATAAAGCATTATAGTTACACAGCATTCAGAATAGAAATTGCGATTGGAAGGAAAATGTACCCTGCTGGGACCTTTAGAACCATTAGAATTAAAACGTGATGGTTTTTGTTTCTAATGGAAATTGGCGTAATGGTTAGAGACCACTAGTTTCCTGTATAAACACCTTTAGATCGCATTAGAAAACTATTAAATGTGTCTAGAATCTGTTGAAGATGCCGGTATGCTGGTCTGCAGCAATGGAAGCTGCATTATGTGTGTGTTTTGGAAGCTGGGTGACCAGCTACACCAGCACCAGACCAGCAGAAACCAGCATGAAATCCTAAGTTTTTCTTTCTTATTTTTCTAGCAGGGCTGTTATTAAACCATTCAGATCCTTTCAATGGTGACATCAACCCATAAGGAAAACACTGAGTATTATTACTAACCTTTAAACAATGTTACAAAACCCACAGAAATATTCAGTCGTCTCTGTTTTTTTTTTCATTTTCTTTTTTCAACAGGAATATTTTGAGATAAAAAGTCAAAATGTTGACATACCGCTGTCACAAACAGAGAAGGAAAAAAAAACATAGGCATTAGGGCCTCCGTTCCATTTAAACCAAAAGAAGGAAAAGAGAAAGAAAGAAAATTTTTAGAGAGAGAGCAGAAAGTTTGACGTCCACAGCCATTTACTTTTAAAATGACTTTTACATTTTTGCTCTGTCTATATTACATTTCCCAAATTAAACACACACCTCCACTGTAAAAAATGTTTTTAATCACTTTTATCTCATATGCCTTCACATACTGTCTTCCACAGGCACTTCAGACAGAGCATCGTTACCTTGAACCCCAGTTTCTCTTTAATCTAATCCTGTCACCTTGAGGCAGAAGACGGTAGTAACTGAGATAACTGAGCCATTTACTCAGTAACGTGAACTTAAATATACTGGATGTGTACTTTTCTGAGTGCTCTCAAACTTCTACTACAAGTATAGTATTGTCATAAGGAATCTGGTTTTCCCCAGTTTCTTTTTCAGTCATTCACATTTTGTTCTTAATTTCCTTCCCTGGTTTAATTTCATTCTGTTGTTGGTTCAGCAGGTGGGCTTCTTTGCTCACCCCTCTCACTTTGAGCTTTTATTCCTACTAAAGTCTTTATTATTGTTGTTTTAGCTACTTTTACGTATGAGTCAGTATTTAATTGACGCAATAATGTTTTTATTTCAGTATTTTAGGCTGTACTAGCCAGCTTTGCCCCAGGTATAATTACAGTGTAAAAACAACGTAATCAGAAATAGTTAGGCCTTTTATTATTATTTTTTTCTAAAACAATCTGATGACCGAGTAACAAACTGAGATTACAATACTTTATCATAGAATTTCTCATACAAAAGTTACATCTTACATTGCAATACGCTTTCAAGAAATGCTAAAGACGCATGTAGGCTAGTGTTAATAAAAAAGTAAACAAAAAGTAATAGTCCTGCAAGAAAACATGCAAATTTTCCAACATTGTCACAGTTCTCAAACAAACCACTCTGTGTTTTTAAAGCCAGCAGCTGTGGAAGTGAAAAAAGGTCATTAGTATAATCACACGAAGAGGACATTAAACACGAAGAGGACATTAAAAAGCACTAGAGGGTTTTCATTGCTCACCTATACGATGGACGATCTCCTCACATTCGGTGCTGGACGTTGCCTGCAGAACCACACAGCAGAATCCTTTTGGCTGGCCTGTTTTTGGAGCGTCTCTGAAATAGCCAATAAAATGCTCAGTTTCAATATTGACTCAGCTAATCAAGCCAAAGTTCACAACCATGCAGCCTTTTACAAATTACATTTACATTTCCACTGATAAGCAGCTGGAATGCAGATATACTGGAACTTCCACTCCCACAGGCTTTCAAAGGAAACAACTGCAGCAGTTAATGCAGAGTTTTCCAATAGCAGTGACCAGGATCCTTACATAATCTATGATCTTACGTAATTCCTGCCTGTTCCTTCCTTTACTTTTGGGTGTCACTGATTTAACTGTTGGTAATTGCTTCTTAATGCTTTGTCTATTGATGGCTCTTGTGCAGCACTTTGAGCAGCATTTATAACATGTGAAAATGTTCAAATGTACTATTTCCAGAGATGCAGAATGGCAGTAAATATAATATTGCATGGGCCAACATCTAAACGGCCTTCTCCTCACATAAACCAGCATTCAAAAGGTCGGGAATCATCATTCAAATCACTATTATCAGTAATATAAAACCAATATCATTGCAGATACATGTAACAAATAATTCTATTAACACTTGTGAGGTGTTCAGGTCTGTGGGACCCATTTTCAGTGTTTGCCAAAAGAAAAATGATGTGATTTATTATTATTTCAACCTCAGATTCCTTGGCCTTTGCTCATTTTCTGTAAAGAACATATGAAATAACACATTTTCAGTGTCTTCACTCTGTTCACCCCCCACACATTTAAATTACGCATGTGGTGTTGGGTGAACCTGTGGGGAGTAAAAGTGTGGAGGTGCTGTGTCCTCCACCCTGTTCTCCTCCTACATGGCCTACTTTTAGTGTGTGTGTGTGTGTGTGTGTGTCTGTGTATGTGTTTGTATAGGTGTGTGTGTGTGTGCGTGTCTGTGTGTGAGGATGGACAACATGGACAGGCTGCTAACTGGCTACAGCTGCTAAAGGAGAACCCTACGCTGACCACTTTTGATATTTTAAACATCTGGTATTTTTACATAAATTGTTATGGCTATATTGATCTAAAAAAACAATAATGCAGTGGGTTCATGAGACCACTGAGTAATAAAAACATCAACACCACACAAGGGTGCAGTACTACCCTATGACTTCATATATTCCAAGCTTTTATAACATAATTCCCAATATAAATTCCCTCTTTATATTAAATATCTCTAATAACTGTGTAGTTACACATAAACAATGCCTACAACATCAATGTCACTAACAATTAGTAACAATGTTACAGATTGATTACGGTAGTACAGCTTATGCAAATACACATTTCTCAACTTTTACTCATGTCAGTATTTCCTGTGCAGATACAGTGGTTTCTCATAATGTAGGTAGTTATGCACCTTTTGTTACAATCAGAAAAGTCTTGTTGGAAAAATAGCAATTCATTCAAATGTAATTACCCTCATCCTATTACACGTGTAATTACATAAGAGAAAACAGGCTGTTACAACTATCAAGATACACTTGTGCAATTACATAAACTGTGCTACTGTAATCCATATGTAACAGTGAATACACACTAATAGTTACACTGTTGTAGCATGTAATTTTAACGTGTAACTACACAGTAATTAGAAATCGTTACTAATAACATTTTTATTTATAGAGCACTTTTTATACCAATGGCAGCTCAAAGTGCTTTATAGACAAGTAGTAAATCAGTTCATTTGAATATGAATATGGAGCAAAGTTATAAAAAATATGCATTGCATTTGAAAAGTGGTGATCAAATCTCAAGGCAAATAATGAATCAAGGAAATACTATAAATAGATAATTATAATAAATTTTCATTTAATAACTTCTTGATGTTCCCAAAGCACTTCAAATGTAGTAGTCCTATCTCAGTAAAGTAATCCAATCTACACTGTATAAGTTATTATTGAACAAAATAGCAGCAATTTTTAATATTCCGAATCTTTGAATAGAAATGTTTTGAAGTACCCAAATACATACACTACGCAAAAAGCAAAGACGGTGAAGTCTGGCTGGCCAAACCTCCCAACACATGAGATCTCAGGAAAGTGGTGCTGGAAGAGCTGCTGTTTAGAGTAAAAAGAGAGAGACTGATGATGTTAGCATCTTCTTTAAATGTGCATCAGTTGTCATGTCTCTGGTCAGTAAATGCCACAGACCTGTTTATTGGATTTATCAGTGCAGGTCAGGTGAGTCTCCTTCACGTCCAACAGCACCTCCTGCACAAAGAAACAAACTTGAACAAGGAATGGGTACAAGAAAGGTATGTTCCCACATGGTTTTCCCATATATTTCAAATGTTTATCAAAAGTTTGGGGACACCTAGCTTTTCAAAGTTTCTTTGTCAGTTATATAACAATAACTCTAACTCAGCATATTCAGTAGGAAGCATCTTATTTTCCAAAATTAAAAGCTGACAAAAGTCATATGTTGAGAATAATGCCAAAGCACTCATCTTTTATTCTTTTGTAACACTGTCTTTTATACATTTTAAGAAAATAAACTAATTAATTGAATTATTACAATTGAATGATTTTTTTTTAATGTACTTAAAGTATTAATGCTAAAAGAACATAATTATGTCAACTGTTAAAAAAGCCAAAGTCACTTAAGTCAAATAAAAGAGAAAGAATGTTCTATTTCTATCACATTATATTCCAGGTTTTTTCCAATATCCCAAGTCACACAGATTTCCACCTTGTATCCTGAGATTCATACCCAAATAAATGTCTACCGTACATCAAATAGAATATATCCCACATTACTCAACTCTTTTGAGTTAGGGGACCTGTTTTTGTTCTTTCTTTTTTGTTTATTTAGTTCAGTCTGTTTCCATTATCAGCTGGAAAGACTGATACGTGAGACAGAAGATTTTATTGACTCCTTGCTCCATCTATTTGCAAACTGGGCACAGCGTTCCCACTGCTTTATTTACCATCTCTGTGTTGTCTTTCCTCCCAGGCTATCTTCATTCTATATTTTGGTTCATTGCCTAGCCTTGTTATTGTTGGCACATTACCATATTCCCTAGTGCTGGGCATGGCTCTAAACTGACTGGGCTCTACAGTAACTCTAATAACACAAAATGTGACCAACCTGAGTTAAATCAACACTAGAAAATCAAAGTGAAATCTGAGAGCCGAGTTGGAAATGTGATCGCAGATTGAGTTTGAGCCAATTTCAGTAAATTATGTCAGATCCACAAAATTGCTTTATTTTTACATAAAATGATTTAATTGGGTAGAAATCCTTCTTGTAATTCAATTAAGTTGATTTTTATTATGTGTGTGATGTCAAACCTTTCAGGTGTTTAAACCACTTTTGGGCCCAAAGAGTTTCAATTTGTGCCTTTCATAGTAGTTTTGAACATATTTTTGCTTTTCATATCACAAACACTTTGATGGACATTACGCTGAATGATACATAATACAATCATAGACCCAAATTAACATACTGCACATTAATGAATTACTGTTTTATGTTAACAAATTTGTAGAAGTAATTTTAGATGCTAAGCACTTCATGGACCTGGCTTTCAACTCACTCACTGACTTGTAGCAGGCTGAAGATTCTCCATAAGGGGGTGCTATTAGCATAGTAAAAATAATAATAATAAAAAAAACAGTACTACTACTACTACTACTACTAATAATAATAATAATAATAATAATAATGGCAACAACAATAATGATGATAATAATAACAACAATAATAATAATAATAACAACAAAAATAATAATAATTAATAATAATAATAATAATACAACTTTCCAAAGTTACAGACTATCAATGACACTGTGTGCAATTGTTTCTTACATAAAGGGGAATTTCATCTATTTCAAAATTCTGCTGCTAACTGCTAAGATGCAAAGAAAGGTTTGATGTGAAATGGGTGATTGTAGAGACTTACAGACTTGGATTTTCTGATTTGGGGTCTACAAGACAAATCTAGCTATTTTTTTATAGCTATATTTATATCCAAAACAACCAGTATCTTTTGAGTTTTTATACGAAAGGTTGATGATGAAAAAGGTGTTAAATCTGAAAAAATGCCCAAATTCTTCTTTGGGCACTATTTTGCCTTTTAATGCCCTGCCATGTATCTGTCTGCCTTAGGCCAAACTTTATCATAACTATTTAAAGTAATCTTTCTCTGAGAAAGCTTTTAGAGGCATTAAACCCTTGAGACATCTGGCTCCTATCGCCACCACTGTGAACAATTCTGACTTAGTAAGTTTTGCTAAAATGGAGCATTTCATATCAAACCACCCTGAATGACTTTGTTTAAATCTTAATAATGGAATTATGTTGACATTTTGAAAAATGGGTGGAATTCCCCTTTAACTGAACAGAGAAAATGAAGGATTACTCTGAATATTTCAAAAGAAAACAGTGTCCCCAAACTTAATTAATAATGTATATCATATAGGTCCATATACAGCTGTCTGGTTTATTATATTCTGAATTTAACCAACACACTGGATGCACGTGTACCTTACTATTCTGCCTCATTCGCAGCACGGCAGGGATGGCGTGCTGCAACACCTCCTTCCCTCCATACTAAGACAAGGAGAAATTAAATTACACACTTATCAGTCAATCACTACACTGCAGCAATGACATTCATCTTCATTTAAATTGTATCTGAACTGAAGCTAATAAGCTCCAAAAGCAATAAAAGAAAGCGTATGTGCATTGATTTATGTATCTACTTTACCATCCCTATGTTTGTTTTCCCTAAGAGCTGCAGAGCATACAGGATCCTGTTAACAGATGAAAGCAAACAGCTTGGTGATTATTATGGTGTTTGACACTAATACCTTAACAAACACACATCGAAAAATACATTTATGCAATGAAATCACAGTCAGGCATGCTTACCTGCCCTCTTTCACACACTGGCTCTGGCTCTGCCGCTGCGCTGCAGGACTGGGCTGTGGAGCTGAGCTGAACTGGAGAGAAGGGTTTTCCTGTTTCAGCTGCCGTAACAACGGCACCAACGGACGATACATGGCCCCATCCTCGCATCTCCAACGCAGCAGCCGGAGAGACAGAGGCTGACCCTTCAGTCTGGACAGCACCACACCTGCCTTTACACAACACAGCATGGCACAAATACTCATTTAATACTGATGATATAGAAGACAGCATAGTAACATGAATAATTCATGAAGAATAATAATTGATTAAGGTAATATTGTGGATAAAAGTCACATTTCATATAATTTCTCCCTCACCAAATGGAATCAATCAGCCAGTATGTAGTTGGTGTCTGAGGTCTGCTTCTTTAGTTTTGTACTGGGGATATGAAGCTAATGTAGCTAGCAGGTAATGGTGGTTTATAGGCTTCTATTACTTGCCAGCTACCCACATTTCTCATGTGTTGGCTGATCAACTACATTTAGGTGAATCCTACACTCTTAAAAAAGATGGTTCTTCAAGGGTTCTTTAGTAAAGGATATGCTTCCATATAGAACCATTAACACTCAAAAAATTAAAGGGGTCTTTGCATCATGAAAGAGTTCTTCAGACTGATGGACAATATGCTGCAGATAGTTCTATATAGCACCAAAAAGGGTTCTACTATGGTTATGATGTCAAGCCTGTAACAACAGAAGAACCCTTTTTGGTGCTATACAGAACCCTTTTCAAAAAGGTGCTGTATAGAACAGTCTGCAGCATATTCTCCATCAATCTGAGGACGTCTTACACGATGCAAAGAACCCTTCAGTCATGCAAAGAGTTCTTTGAGTGTTGATGGTTCTATACAGAACCATTTTCTTTACTAAAGAACCCCTGAATAACCACCTTTAAACTGGATTCTTTGCCAAACTATTGCTTTAGGTCAGTCTCAGTAAACATCACTGGACCTGGCCATTGCTGGAATTCCTCAGCGATATCCCATTAATTTCATCAATGATGTCACCAGGCTCTGCAAACATATCCACCTGAGCCATGCCACCTTGAAGCAGTTCCAACACAAACACACGCCCATCCAGGTACCTGAGAAAGAGAGAGGGAAAGAGAGAGAGAGAGAGGAGGAGACAGAAAGGGAGAGGCTGTAGGTTTACATTCACCCAGAATGGAACACATACACTATTAGAACACAGAACTTGTGGCATTCAAGCAAAACTATCATCTTATAAAGTGCAAAGGCAACCTGCTTTGCTGAGTCTAATATGACCAGTTTGTTGCTCTGACAAACATGCTACTATAAGCATGCTAACCTGAGAACCATCCCCAACTCGCGACACGGCACGGCCTCATAGGTTTCACATACCTAAAACACATAAGTAGGCTTTCAACATGCATTTAACATGCACAGACTGCCATACAGTGCTAATGGTGGGTGTCAGAATGCTTTAGACTTACTGGAAGCAGCCAGCTCTCATCTAGGAAGCTGCAGTTCTGGAGTGGCAGATACAGAAAGGAAATGTGCCATTAAAGTGGGGAAAACAAGGCTCAGTTCACTGAAGATAAAGGGTGTTACTAAAATGATTTGTCAAAGCAGTCAGGACATACAGTGAGTTGCCAGTTTAATATGTACACTCATGGGGCACTTTTTCAGACACACCTACACTGTTAGAAAAAGGTGTACTGTCCTGTACATTTTAGCTTCCCAAAGTACAAACAATAATAATGATAATAGTGAATTTCATTTATATAGCGCACTTTTCATGACAATGTCAATTCAAGGTGCTTTAGAGAAAAATAATACAAAATTCATAAAAAAAGTGCGAGTCTTAACATTCAACTTAAAAAAAGATCCAGAATTTCTTAAAACAAAACAAAATCCATAAAACACATTTAAAAGGAAAATTCTTAAGATTCTTCCTAAAAGATCTAGAGTTGCTAAAACCAATCCATGAAAACAGGTCTAAAAAGAAAAGTCTTAAGACTTTCTTTAGAAAACAGACCCAGAATTACTCAAAACAACACCAAACGTAATTCATAAAAACCCGTCTGAAAAGAAAAGTCTCAAAATTCTTTTTAAAAAGTGATCAAGATCCAGGATTTCTTAGAGACTCAGGAAGCTCGATCCATAATCATGGACCCAATACACTAAAAGCATGGTCACCCATGGAGCAGAACTTTGAACCAGCAGATTTGAAGATCCAGACCTCAGCAAAACTGTAGCATGAGTATGAGGAAGTAAAAGATTCTGCAAATATACTGGAGCTCAGGCATGTAAACATTTATACACCAAAAGTCAAAATTTTGAAATGAATTCTCTCTCTAATGTGCAGCACAATTCTGAACATACTGCAATCTCTGTATACTCTTATTTGGAAGGCCAGCCAAGAGGACATTGCAGTAATCTAACCGGGAGGTCACAAACGCATGAAACAGCTACTCAGCATCAAAACAAGTCAGAGAGGTCCTGAGTCTCGCAATATTCCGTAATTGGTAAAAAGAGGTTTTACAAACAGAGGTAATATGAGAATCAAATGATGATGTAGGATCAGTGTAAATGTACTGTAAAAGGTACAGTTGTATGCAAATGTTCGAACATTTTTGGGCAAATTACATTTTTTGCAGATTTTCTAAGTGAAAATAAGTTAACAAATCCTTTAACAAACTTAAATATGGCATTTTCTGCTCATTTTAGAGCACAATTGCTGAATTCAACAAATTGGAATTAAATAATGCATAAAATATAAAATGTGTCATGAGGCACAGGCCACATTTTATGTTATTTTTTCCCAAATATGTTCAGCAAATTTAGCAAATAAACAGTATTTATGCATTCAAATGTGCAGAAGTGTGCTTTCTGTGGAGGATGTAGAGGAAAATCAACAACTACAACATGTAGTTTGGCCAGGGATGGCCAAACTTTGCATACGACCACATGTACCACACACATTACCATGCTACTACCATGTTAGTGTCACTGTTGTGCTAAGAAGTCATTTTCCGACCTGTATGCCTACAAAGTGCATCTGCAGATGGGTGACAAATTAAAGGGAAAATATTAACAAAAACACAAAGAGTGGTAACCCTTCCAGACAGGTGTACCGCACGATACAACCAAGCAATTAACATCCTGCCATGTTCTGTGGCATGAATAAAAATGCTGATCAGGCCCAGTTGACCTCAATTTTGGGTCAAGATGGAAAAAGGAAAAGTTCTAAGTGACTTTGAGTGTGGGTTAATTGTTGGGGCATGGATGGCACGACCACGGACCAGTTTTATTTGAAAATGATAAATCATGGCCTGCACAGTCACCAGATCGCAACTCTGTTGAATAACTATGGGAGAACATAGTTATAGAGTACTAGACAGCACTCTCCTCCACCATCATCAGCACCAATTAAGGCAATATCTTTTGGAAGACTGGCGTTCCATTCCTCCAGTACAGTTCTAGAGGCTTGTAGAAGCCCTGAAGCTGTTCTGGCAGCTCTTGGTAGCCGACACCTTACTTTACTTTACATGGTGTAGTGAGTGTAGGTGTTTCTAATAAACTGGCAACTTGCACAGTAAAACAGACACAAACATTGAGGAATACTTACAATTTAAATTAGTACACTGATCATTTATTCAGAGAGGAAGGTTCACACCTCTATGTTGAGCTTGAACTCCATTTCAGAGAGAACCAGACACAGAGAGAGAAAAGGCTCTGTGTGCAGGAAAATACACACATAATACAATCATTTCTCAAGTGTGAGATGCATCAAATGATAAACACAAATTTAAGCCCAGGGGAAAATTGCTCACCTACAAATTTCTCATTCCTCAATACAGAAGTTTCAGGACTATACCACTGCAAAGGGAGAGAAGAATCTCAATTCTTACTATGATTCAAAGAGAATGTAGCAGAATTTGAGTCATTGTAACTTTTTTCTTAAGTCTGAAGAAAAAAAGCACATTTAAAAAGATTTTAGTTTTTAAGAATGAATGCACTCCCAGACTGATAATTGTGTGACTGACCTCCATGACTCTGGCTGTGTGTAACAGATGCTTGACTGCATTTTCCAAAGTTCTCTTGGTCAGCATTAGCCGTATGAAGAAGCGACCACGGCCCTGAGCGGTCAGGAGCTTGGGGCAAGCCGTGATTTGCTGCGCGGCTAAAGAGACTGCACTCAGCCTGCAGGCAGTAAGAGAGGAGAATAAATAAGAGTGTTCAACATTAAAACCTGAACTTCATTAAGAGAATTAGGAAGGCTATTCGTGTAATTGCTCAAAAAACACTTTTTATATTTGATTTTCCAGAAAACTCTACACTAATCAGTATTTTCAAAAGAGAATCATCCAATCAGGATCATTTGAGTACCAATTCTTTTCAGGCCCTTTGGAGTTACTGTAGGCATTACGTTTTTCATGTTTCTCTTAGCAGACTTGCAGCAGAAGCAACATCACTTTGAAACTGTTCAGAAAAATTACAATACTATCCTTTTATCCTGCATATGGGGCCCATGCCAACCCCTGTCCACCACTGAGAGTGCCTACAATGGGCAAGCGTCAAAACTGGACCTTGGAGCAATGGGAAAAGGCCTGGTCCAGTGAGTCATGTTTTCTTTAACATCACATGGATAGATGGGTACGTGTGTGCCGTTTACCTTGGGAAGTAATGGCAAAGTAGATGCACTATGGGAAAAAGACAAGTTGGAGGACAGTGTGATGCTCTGGGCAGCATTCTTCTGGAAAGCCCTGGGTCCAGGCATTCGTGTGGTGGTCAGTTTAACTTGTGCCACCTACCTAAACACTGGTGCGGACCAGGAGCCCCCTTTCATGGTAATGGCATTTTCCTGATGGCAGTGGCCTCTAAGCAGGATAATGCCACACTGGCCTGCCACACTGCACACACTGTTTGGGAATGGTTTAAGGAACAGTATAAAAAGTTTAAGGTGTTGACCTGGCCTCCAAATTCTCCAGATTTCAATCCAACTGAGCATCTGTGGAATGTCGGGGGACAAGAAGTCCAATCTGCAGCTGCTCTACCTCAAAACTTACAGGACTTAAAGGATCTGCTTCTAACGTCTTGGTGCCAGATAGCACAGGGCACCTTCAGAGGTCAGGTAGAGCTCGGTGAGTCAGAGCTTTTTTGGCAGTACAACAGAATATTAGGCAGGCGGTCATAATGCCTTGGCCTAATCAGTTTACAGCTAATTTAGTTCTAAAACAATCTTTGAAGCTTAAACCTGCCTGTATGCCGTGAAAACCACTTCGAACATTTTGTTTAATTACTGAACCAAGCAGAGAAATTCTGTTGAAAGTGTTAGTAACTAGAAAAAAGACATTTTATTATGATTTCAATTTGATAAAAAATGTGTAAAGTGCAAAATGAAACCTCATTCTACTGAATGTGAGCAAAGTAACAGAAATAACTCACCTATATTCAGAAAGCGGCTTCTAAATCTTTTTAATCTTTTTCTAAAAGTTTTTATTTTTAAAATAATAACACATTTTTAAAATATTTTTTTTTTTAGCATCATCACAACAGATGGTGCTGGTGCCATTTTAGGCATACATGTCAGTGTATCTGGTGTATGAGTTAGAGTAGGGATGATTCAACTCCTCAGCCAATTAGCAAGGAAATAAAGGAAAGAAAACACTAATGACTGCAGTACTGTGACCCTCCAGAGCCTGAGTTTGTTGCCACTGGGTTACAGCGTTAAAGGTTATGTACAGACACATGGACAACAGATTTGTACATGTCATATAGGCTACCACGACACGATACTGACCTGCCACATGTGTCATGTTGCAGCAGCTGCTCAAAGCAATACCAATAGTCTCTGTGCGTCAAGCTCAGGACTGGCTCTGCAAGCATGAACAATATTTATAAAGTTACATAATTACAATAGACCCTATAGAGTATTATGTCATTCTGCAGTTGATGTCATGCCCATATTAGAAAAAAAAGGTACTCAGAAAAAAGGTATGAAACTGTCACTGGGGCAGGACCCCTCTTGCCACTGGGGTGGGACCCTCAAGGGAACATTTCACTACCTTTAGTCAGGGAACATAACTGTACCATAATCATATTTTCTAAGTTTGTATTGACTCCACACACCCCGTCTCGTTTATTTTACTGTTCTGTTTTAAAACATTCGGTTTTGAAAAGGTACAAATATGTACTTTTTCACTGGGAAATACTTATATAAGGTTCACAATTAGACCTTAAAACCTCTGTTGTACCCTTGAGGGAACTTTTTGTGGAGATTTTCCCCCCAAATGTCACTGGATCTTCTGAATTATGAGGTTGTAAAGGAGTTGAAATATGAATAATGCTACAATCAAGCTAACACTCCTGCGCATTGAAAGGAAGCTGCAGGAAAGTAAGCCTACTATTATACTTCAACTCCAGTTTAAACCAACACCTGATCAGACTGTAGGATACTACTGCCAAAGCAATTTTACTACCACATCATACAAAGCTTGCAGGTTTGTGTTGGGTATATTGGCGAGGATGCAAGTCTTATGATGTCAGTTGAATGCACAGCAGCTTACATGTAGCGATACTTTGTATGTTGGCTCCTTAATGACCTCATAATTCAGAGGATCTGTCAACATCCAGAGGAGGAAAAATAATTAAAAACGTAATGTATTTTTCACACAGAGAAATCTGCTTAGACCTGGAATTCCTAACATGGAAATAATGCCGACTTCAACAGCGACACAACTTGAGTGGTCTATTGACCTATTCATGCTCAGCGTTCTTTCATAGCAACTGTTGCTAGGTTGGACAAGCTTTACAGAACTATGGCAAAAAATCCTATTCAAACCTAACAAGACTTTCAGTCCACTGCGGCTTCCACAATCCCCTGAGCACAAGTCCAGTACAACGCTGATATTAAACTTATCACACGTGAACATGTCCACTACTGAGGAGACAGTTAAGTTTGATCATCCTGGTTTTCACATTGATTTATCAGTGTGATGGTCATTAATATACCTCAGCATTATTGAGTAATGCTGAGGCATATTAATGAGCAGTAATGCTGAGATATATTAATGATCATTACATTGGTTTATCAGTCAACTCAGGCTTTAGCAGAGCTCAGTAACACTGAGATTAATAACTGATCATCACATTGATTTATCAGTCTACTCAGGCTTTAGCAGAGCTCAGTAACACTGAGATTAATAACTGATCATCACATTGATTTATCAGTCTACTCAGGCTTTAGCAGAGCTCAGTAACACAGAGATTAATAACTGATCATCACATTGATTTATCAGTCTACTCAGGCTTTAGCAGGAACTGTTTATTAAGAAGCCATTTGTGGAGTTCTTCTTTAGAGTCCATCAAAGAACGTGTCTGCTACACACCATGCACTGATTTAACATGTGGGAACAAGATATATGGCCATGACTTAATAAGGTGTGGGAACGAGATCATACCTTATTAAGCTGTGGTCAGGGATTAATTATCTCATTCCCACTCCTTACTAAACCATGGCCATGCAAAATGATCTCGTTCCTATGCCTTACTAAGTCATAGCCACAACTTAATTATCTCATTCGCACACCTTACGAAGTCATGGCCATGCATTATTTTTATTTGTACAGGATGTCAACAGCAGAGCTCTGTAAATAAGGTTTTTATTACATAGTAAAAAAGGGATTCCAAAAATATTTTCGTAAAAAATTGTATTTTGAATACTGTGTTTCCAAAATGTAACATGGACTCAATACAGGTACTGTATTTCACCATTACATCCCAAACCTGCAAATATATACATATATATATATATATATATATATATATATATATATATATATATATACATATACATATATACATATGTACATTTAGTTATTTTGACAAAAGCTTGTGAGCTACAAAGTAGGTTTGAATGACATTTGTGCCAACATTCTGTAAAGCTTGTCCAACCTAGCAACAGTTGCTACATAAGAACAGTGAACATTGACAGGTCAACCGCAGCAGAACATATCATGTACATTGTAATGTAACACCTTGTGACGTAACTATACTTGGTGATGCATCAATGTAACAGTATATATGTGTGTGTGAGTGTGTGATGGGGGGTATATATACAGGTGATGATGAAGGAAAAGGGTTGCCCACTCACGCTGCAGTCCCTTACGCAGAATGAGCTCCAGCAGCTCACAGCAAGAGGCCAAATGAGGGCTGGAGTCTGTCACACTGCCCTCAGCCTGGAGCTGCAAAATACACACTGGAGACAAACCGGTTCAGGCAGGTTGGGAATAAGGTTATGATTAGGAGCAGATAGGGCTAATTTGTTCAGGGATGAGGTGAGTCAGACTCTCTCACTGCCTTTGCGCTCCAGAACATGCATCATCACTTACTGCCTGACAGATATTCTAGCCCATAATTTACCTGTTTGGCCGAGCCTGCTGCATCACCGACATACCACAGCCTGTTTTAAGGACAAATGTCCAGTGGCATGTGTCCACTGTCCAGCATTAAGGAGCATGGTCGTTTCAGAGGAGAGTGGAAATATCATGCACAGAGAAATGACAGCTGCTGGAAGGTCAAGATAAAATCTAAACAGCATAATGAAATCTTACCTTTCAGCGTCTCGATAAGAGGGTCTTTAACTGGCATGTTCCCCCCTCTCTCTGTAATGATCCTGTTATGAACAGAGCGCAGCAGCTGGGTAAGGTTGGTAGAGCTGATCGATCATTTTCCACGCACCAAACAGTGGAAATATGAAGGCATTTACGGAGAAGCATAGAGTAAAACGACTTAGAGCAGCACAGCCATATATATACAGCTATATCTGCGAGATAAACACAGCATTCTGAAGCCTAAAGTTCAGTCAGCCGAGCCCTGGAGCTCAAACAGGAAAGTATGCAAAATATTCTGGAGAAGAGAAACGGCGTCGTGTATGAATATTCATTACGCTCGTCCCAGTTTCTCTAATCAGAGTTCATCTATTACACGGCACCGCCCCTTCATTTCTAATACGTCTCACTGGCGCCCTCTTCTGGCAAATGGTATTGTTACCACTGAATGTAGTGTGGTCTACAGCAGGGTTTCTCAACCACTGGGTCGAGGACCACAAGTGGGCACTCTTTGGTAGTCCTTGGACCTATACTGAGGGGTGCCAGTGGTCCATAGTGGGCAAGTGATGGCAATTTGTCATAAAAATCAGTGAAAAAATAATTGCCTAACTATAAAAAGAAATATAAAATGTTTTCAGTAACAACATTAATACAAGCCCTGCAATAGCAGTGCACAAAGGCAGCTTCATCATATTTTTTTTTTTTTGCCTTTTCCTCTAGAAACACCTCACCTTTCAGTTGTCTACTCTCCACAGACAATCCACACCGCATCCACACTTCAAACAGACACACTCTGATCTTACTGTAACCTCTATCTAGCAAATCTATACCAGCACATCTAGCTTGACATCTTGTATCCATATCTTCTACAGTATGTATATATATATATATATATATATATATATATATATATATATATATATATACACACACACACACTTTGTTATAATACCACTGACAGTTGACTGTGGAATATTTAGTAGTGAGGAAATTTCACGACTGGACTTGTTGCACAGGTGGCATCCTATCACGGTACCACGCTGGAATTCACTGAGCTCCTGAGAGCGACTCATTCTTTCACTAATGTTTGTAGAAGCAGTCTGCAGGCCTAGGTGCTTGGCTTATACACCTGTGGCCATGGAAGTGATTGGAACACCTGAATTCAATGATTTGGATGGGTGAGTGAATACTTTTGGCAATATAGTGTATGTATGTGAGATATAAAGGTGGTATTAATCATAATGTAACACTGATATTTCTTGTATGTGTAAAGGCTGCTATGAACAACATATATCATGACAAATAAATAAAATTCTCTGATTAGACAGCTGACTGGATACTTTTGGATATGCAGTGTATCTAATGCTTGGGAAACCACAGGAAACCAACACAAAAACAACAGGCTCACAACTCAGGATAAACACAGAGACTTCACAACATACAGGAAAAAACAATGGGGTATATAATAAGTCCTAGAATCACGTGCAGGTGTGAGTGGGTGGAGCCAGGGAGAGTAGATGTAGTCTCCCCAGAGGGGAGAGACAACATGACATCAGATCTTCAGCTGTGCATGTACTTATAGGTTTTATATAGTCATTTGCACATTTTGTTTAACACATACTCTACAGAGAACACACTTCTGCAAATTTAATGCACAATTACAGTTTATTTGCCAAATGTAACATATTGGGGGAAACATTAAATGCAGCCCGTGCAAAAGCATTTTTTATTTTATGTATTATTATTTTTTTTTTTCCAGTATGTTAAACTCCACAAATAATTAGAAAATAATGTCATATTTAAGCATGTTCTCAGTAGAGAATGTGTTATTTTCACTTAGAAAAACAAGCATGTTATTTGACCAGGTTGCTCAAACGTTTGCATAAAACTGTAGATTTTTATTACATTTTTATGTTGACACCTGCACTGTGAAATGAAATCTCCTTGTACATTTTGTACTTAGCAAATTAAATAAAATATAAACAAACAAACAAACAAATAAATATTCTGATTCTGATTGCCAAATGATTTATCTGAAACACTTTGAAACATTTTCAAAAAAAAAGTCCAATTAAAAACAAAACAAACCAAAAAAAGGGAATTATTCTATTATTCTTATAATTACACTTTCCCATGTAGCAATGGGAATGCAATAATATGAAGCAGAGCCATCAAAATCTTTAATCATCTCTTCATTATTAAAGCCATGGTCATTCTTGTTTATGTACAGTTAAATTAATTAAGACATACTTTACAGAAAAATACTTCATGCATTCTTACAGGACATTCATTCATTCACAGCCTGTACATACATATAATAGTATGTACTATAGCAGTACAGACCTGAATAAAATTAGGTAAACTGCTACAGTACTTATGTTATTCAGGTCAAATACATTATTTTAGCACAATGAAGCAAAGCAACATAACAGTGAGCAGAATAGATGCAATGTTCTACGCTGTGAAACCTCATATGTTGTTTTAGATTGGGTTCTTTTGGTTGATGCTTTGTAAGAACAGAATAGCCAAAAACAAACTATGTAGAAGTCAATTTAATGCGGGCAATTTTACGAAGGCAAAAGGACATTGAATGAGAGTCTTTATTAAAGTTTATCTGACCCACTTCAGTGACAGGCAGCGCTCTGTGGGAGGGCTACGGTTCTTTCTCTTCCCAACTTACCAGAGCACGCTTCACCCTCCTGCTTTCTCTCACCGCCGTTGATTTGGAATATAAGATGCAGGTCATCATGTTCTTGCACTGATGAGACCCACAAATGTGGAGAAGCGTTTGACCCTCGTGCCTCCTGCAGAGAGGGTGTGAGGATGGAGGGACACAGATCAATATGCTCTCCAAAGTGCTATGGAAAAACATGTTTATCTGAAAGGAGATGGGGGGACTTCAGGTTGTGCCTTGACGTAGATGAAAACAAAAGAAAAATCATAGTACTTTTTATATCCTATATTTCTCTTGCATTTTATTTTTCCCCTAAAGTCCATGTATGATGTTTTTTGTGGGTTTATGTACCAAAAAGCAGTTGCATCACAATTTACCAACTTCTCTTTATTATACATATTTAGTATTATGTTAGAAATATGCCAGAATTATGGTTCTGTTACTGTGCCTTTTAACACAGATATATGTAAATAACCCATTTTCTAACTGGCTGTCTTGTATTGTGTACTGTTCAAAAAGTAATCTGGGCTAATCAAGCTGTTAAAGCTACACTGTGTAAGATTTAGGGAAATTTTGGTATGGTACAGGAGTTCGTACCAACAGCGATCGCACTGTACAACACCTCGTCACTGTGCTGGGACATTATTGTATACTAAGCCACTGACAGGCCAGGCCCATGAGAGGGACATAGTTAGAAAAACAAATTAACCAAAGGCTCGACTAAACAGGTAAGTTTTTAGCCTAGACTTAAAGATGGAGGCTGTGTCTGAGTCCCGAACACAGACTGGTAGGCTATTCCAAAGCTGGGGGGCTTTGTATGAAAAGGCTCCTCCCCCTGACGTAACTTTATTTATTCTGGGTACTAATAATGAGCAGCACCTTGTGATCTAAGTGGGCGTGTCGGTTGATAATAGGAAATAAGGTCACTGAGGTACTGAGGAGCAAGGCCATTCAGAGCTTTATACGTCAGTAGAAGAATCTTGTACTCAATGCGGAAATTAACTGGCAACCAATGTAAGGTACACAAAATTGGGCTAATGTGGTCGAATTTCCTGGTTTTGGTGAGAACTCTGGCTGCAGCGTTCTGGACTAACTGAAGCTTGTTAAGGTTTTGGCTGGAACAACCAGAAAGCAGAGCGTTACAGTAAATAAACTATCCTTTTCAACGTGTGGATCCTTTGGAAGGCTGTTATGATCCGTTTGCTTCCTGATACCCAGCAACAGCACAGCGTTTAAACATTTTTCCCCATCCTCTCATGTTCTTCTGCAATAACTCTGCCACAGACTGCAGTAGCAACCCTCCACATCACTTCAACATGAATGGGCGGGGCTAAACCTCTGTAGGCTAAATGGTAGCTTATATGTAATGTGGTACCACAACCACAATGAATTCACAATTTTTGCAACTTTAACTTTTTGGTTTTCATAGTACATCTAACATGGTTTTCCCACGATGTGGGACCCTTAATGACTAGTCAACTATAGGAAAATATGCTCTGCTACGAGGTCAGGTTTGGGCCGACTAACCAAAGTTAATCTAGGACAAAAACAGTCTAAACAATGACTAATAGTGCTCCCTCTATCGCTTACCCTGTTGTTCCACAACGATTTTGTGGTGGCTACAACAACAAAAGTACAACAAGGCCAAAAGTCACAATATTGGGCTTTTTGAGGTTTAAGACAATTCAAGATGAGCTGTTGGTGGCCTTTAAAAACAGTGCCAACTTCTCTACTCATAAGTGGGAGGTCAGACTAACATGGCTTAATTGGCCAACTCTATGTACTGTGGCCTACAGCAGCTCACAGTGTGGTCACTGGGAAGCCTATTAAAGTGGAAAAAGATCGACAGTGTGGACAGAGCACACAGAAGCATCTGCCCTCTGTTAGGGCCATGACCAATTCAACTGCCAAACACAATAAGAAGTTTCAGTGAGTCATAACTTTTCTAACAACAGTCTTGCAGTTTCTTGTATTTTTGTGAGCACCTCAGTCTGTGAGGAGCCAAACTGAAAAGAATAGTTTGGCGAAAAGTCAAATTTCCACAAATTTCCCTCTTACCCTAAAGTACATCATCCAAATATGTTTGCCCAAAGTTTGCTTCCTTAGTTTTGCCCTTAAACTATGAGGCTAATGTAGCTAATAAGTAATGGAAGCTTATGCCATCAATTAGCATCGTTTTTTGTGCTAATATGGTTTCTGACACTGTATTCCATACTGTAACATATACAAACAGACATAAAGACAAACTTCAGGCTTTGATGTCCACTGCTACTGTTTTTAGCCATGACTACTGTTTGCATTTTTTAGCTATTGTCCATCTTTTAAATAACAGTTATCATTCAGTGTCAAAAACCATACATTCTTAGCAAAAAGTGTTCTTTATAGTACCAAAAAAAGGGTTCTTTGGCATGTAGCAATTATGGAGCCCTTTTTGGTGCTTATAGAACCCTTTTCAAAAAGGTTCTATATCGAACCATCTACAGCACATTCTCCATCAGTCTGAAGAACTCATGTTGCAAAGAACCTTTAAATCATGCACAGGGTTCTTTGGCTTGTAGCAATTGTGGAACGCTTTTTGGTGCTATTTAGAACGCTTTTCAAAAAGGTTCTGTATTGAACCATCTACAGCACATTCTCCA